TAATATAAATTGAATTTAGGCAAAAATATAATATAAAATGCGAAAAACAAAACAAAAAAAAAAAATTTGAAAAGAGAGAAAAAAACAAAGAATAAAATTTATGTGTGTGCGTTTGTGTAAAAAACATGAGAAAAAAATTATATTGGAGAAAAAATTGGATTGAAAGTTAAAAAAAAAAAAAAAAACAAAATCCCTTTCTCGTAAAATGCGGTGTAAAGCAAAGATTGCGTCTTTTGTTTTGGTAGAAAAAGAAAAAAAAAAATGGCATAATATGAAACGAAATGGAAATGAAACATTGAAAAAGAAAAATTGCAATTTTTACTCTTTTGTTTTTTTTTTTTTTCATTTTATTTTTACTCTTACTCTTTAATTCAAGGTTTTGATCTTTTTTTCTATACCCGACACCTTAGTTGGAAGTATATTAACTTTCGTTGAAGATTTGTAAGAGGTCACAAGAAGGAATTGTATCTTTACTATTTTAAATTTTCAGAAACTTTTCGTATTCTGCAAAGGACGGCTACTATTTTAATTGTACCAATTCGAACAACAGCTTCAGTTAGCTGCTATAAAACCTTAATTACTATTTTCAAACATTTGAAAAAGAAAAAGGTTTAGCTGAATGAAATTTGTGATACATCAGCGGTGATTTCTGAATAAAAGCCCACACATTTTCTAAAATTTTCTTTATAATAGCTTTAAAGGTAACTCTATAAAATTTGGTAAGGAAGAGCTTATTAATAGTTTATGAACGACGAAAGGATCCGGGTTTTGATTTTATTATATCAGATTATCCTGATGTAGGGTATATAAATTCAGTCAGTTAAGGTCGACTAAAACGTTTTTACTTGTTTTTATATTTTTATTTTTTCCTAGAGTTAATTTTGGCTCTATTATCATTACACACATACCTTAATATAATAATATTCCATTTAAATATAGAATACCTACATTTCTACTTATATGTTAAAGCAATCATACACACACACATACATATACATTTTTAATATTTTGGATATACAAAAATTATATTATTATTGTAGTTATATAAGATAATGTAAGTTTTACGTATTCAGCAGAAAATTGTAATATAAAATGTGCGATTACAGAAGGATTTTTCATGATTTTGGTGATTTCTTGTTTTGTTTTTTTTTTTTTTTGCTTTCTTTTGATTTTAATAATTTAAGAGAAAATTTAGGTCACATCTGGTAAACCATTTCTATATAGAAGATGTTTTGATATTAAAATATTCACATTCATAACACATGAACACATTCATATACATTCATATAGTAATGTAAATAGAAATGGTATTAAACTTATGATTATTTGAGTACAAAATTAAATTAAATTTGAGAAAACGACGTAGGTACCTACCTACCGGTATAATTTTTTTTATTGTCCCGGTTTTTTGTTTTTTTTTTGGTCAAATTGCCGCTTAAGACTTTTAATAAAGTCATTTTTGTTATTTTTTAGTCATTTCATTTTACACATACTACATATTATGTACATACATATACTTACATAAATACAGTTGTATTATCAGGGAACAAGTGTATATGTACATACATATGCACATAAATTTTTTATGTTGGCTTTTTTTTATGGTTGATTCGCATCTATTTATTTTAATAACTTTTAATATTATAAAAATTAAAGTTTAGTTGAATAGAAAAATATTGTATTTTCGGTATTTTGATAATAGAATTAGGTGTAAATTTCCAACTTAAAAAAAAATGAACATCTACAGGGTTTATACCGTTTAAGAAAAAAATTTGATGTGATCAGCACATAACCGACTGCAATGTATATTGCCGAATTAAGTGAAAGTGTGAACAGAAGATTATGAAAATGCGTTTTAAATAATTTTTTAAAATTTTAAGGACACTAATTAGCTTTTAGTTAACATGTCTAGAAAAACGTAAATTTTGGCTCTTAGTAGAGTTTCGCTTTGTGCTATGTCGGAATTAACTGAAAGCTTCATCAATTAGTTTCGGTAAGAAGTAGAACTCAAATATTGAACTTCAAGAAATTTTGTCAGTTAGCTCCATAGATGTGATAAAAAATGTGAAATCCACCCTTATTCGGTTTTCGAGACCTGATTTTTCCAAAAAATTTATAGGTTGATTGTTTTAACACCCCAAATTTAAATATTAAATAACAAAGAAAAATTTATAATTTCTCTTTATTTGTACAAAAATGTAAAGTTGGGCCAGAAAGAGGTTCAGTTCCTGGCAGGCCTCGGGCCTGCCAATTCATGACACAGCCGAAATAAGATAACTTCTAAAATTTCATTAAAATCGGTTGAGGGAAACTAGGAATACACGTGTTCACACACAGACCGACATTTCTCTAAAAATAGTTTATTTACGCTTTTCTAGAATGGAAAGCTCGATATCCGAAATTCGATGCCATCAAATAGCCTCCCATATTATTTACAATACGATCGTTATTTAAGAATTGCGAAAAAAGGGCTAGAAAAATAAGAGTTTCAAAACAAAATTTAACTATAATAAAGTCGACCAACATTTTGCTAAAAAATTATTAGTTAACTTGTTTTTATAACATTTTTTCTATTAAACATTTCTGGAAATGAACCACTAGAAACCAATCAATATTGAAGTCATTTGTAATTTTTGTGATTTGCAATTTGACTTTTTCAATACGAGAATTTTTTTTAATATTACTTTTTATCGATGTATAGTTACGTGAGGACCTTTAATATAAAATAATATTAACCCCAAAAGATCATTCGTTTCATTTATAAAATACGGAAAATTTTTGACACAACAGATTTCTTAGGATTGATTCGAATACAGTGAAATATTCTGACTGGAATCTTAAAATTACTGCTAAAGTCAGTTTATTTTTTTAAGTACAATTTTGATTAAAGTTTAATGGTAATAATCTAATTTCAAAATAATTCCTTCAATGGGACTAATCAATTGAAACGTTCACCACCACTGAATTGAAACAAAAAAAAAAATTAAATAACAATGAAATTTCATATCGTTTTTAATAAAAATTGTAAAGAAAATGGAGTGAAAAAGTCTTAAGAAAATTCATTTAATAAAATTTAATGGGTGATTAGACTTTTCATAATTTTGAAAATTTTTATGTAAATTTCGTTTATGAAAACATTTTTATAATTTCATTTTTACAGTTAACCTTCTTAAATATTTTTGCTTTTGTTAAACAGAGAAAAATTAAAAATTATTAGGTGATTTTCTTTGGAAACAAAATCATAGACATAAAAGTATGTACTTGAAATTCATTTTTTTTAAATTAAAATACTTACACCAAAATTTAAATACAATTAACAATAAAAGTACAGAAATAAAATTACTTTAACATTCTTACTTTTGCCTTTTCACATTTTCCTTTATTATTTCATTTATACTCTTTTATTTTAATAGTCTAAGGGTCTATTGTGACCTCTGGCTGAGTGCAGGTCATGTTTTACAACAACCGCTCAAGACTCGACTTCCTAATAACCCGAGAATCTTATGATGCCCGGCGTACTTCAACTTCCCCGGCATTTCCTTTCTCTTACGAACGAGAGCATTACAATATCTTCACAGAATGCCTAATTCTTGCCCAACCCTATTATCTTCTTAAATCGCTTCTGGTTATTATCGCCAATTTTAAGTAGTAGCATAGACAAAATAATTCTCAACTCAATCAATTTTAAAAAATTATCAACAGAATTATTTATATTAAACAACAACTTGTTCTATCTTTGTAACATTCTTGCCCCTTATATTCAACTTGCTATATTGTGCCTACTCTCTTTTCTGTGTATAATTTAATTACAATAACGTTTGTTTTCCTTTCAATATAAAAGTAAAAAAAAATGCTTTAATGTTCACTTAAAATAATTTATTTTACATGGAAAAGCAATTAATTGGGGTTTAATTTGATAAAAAGTAAAACATTGTAAGGGACAATTAATTAGGAATGAACGTGTTTCTATAACGTTAAATTAAATAACTTAGTTTTTTCCTTCATTTTCAGTTCATTTGCAAATCAATTTGCCTATGTACAACGAAACACTTCCTTTTCAGTTCAGTAATTTTCTGTATATAAAATTTCTAAATGTTTACATATTATATTTTTTTTTTATTGCCACTAAAGCGGTAAAGGATGTTTATTTGATAAAAGTGTGTGATAATTCAGGGTTATTCAGTATTTCTCGCCTTAATGTATATACCATCGTTTATGGGCATAAAAAATTGAAATGGAAAAATTGTTATTTAGCGCTAGATGTAAAATTTCAAAGCTCTGCAAGGTGCCGGGATTTTAATGATTTTTTAATTTCTTCTTGTTAAAACCTTTTTGCTTATGGCTCCGTTCCAAAGAAGACAGATATTTCAAACTTATATAAAATATTTAAAATGAAAAATCAAGGGTTCAAAAACAAATGGTGCATTTAGAATTTAAATAATTTGGAATTGCAATTGAAAATATTTGATTGAAACAGGCAAAAACATTTTTGATTGCTTAAAGGATAGTATTATGTTAAAGTACTGTTTACTGAACTATATTGCATATAGACCCATAGTACATACGGCGAACCCATACGGTACTAGAAATTGTTGATAAAATTTATTTTTTGTTTGTGCTTTTAGATATCGTAATTAAGCTCATAGACATAATAAGTCTCTAGTAAGTTTTTATAGTTACGTTATTTTGAAAAAAAATCTTTACTGACAAAAAACAAGCACATTTCCTTATTCGATCAATTATTGTATCAGAAATATTGTAAATATAAATAAATCGAAAAATGATTTGCTTTGTCAATTGAACCTTTTTTTAACTAAAATGTGGCAACTTGACTAGAATTTTACACATTTTCTCAAATGACCGTTCAAAAGCTCAACAATACATTGAAATTTCGTATACCGTTTAATTCTAATTTAAAATAATAAATTTCTCGTACAATAAAAAATATAAAACTTCATTAATTACCTACACTTTTTTTTCAAATTTTTTTTTATTTTTAGCACTTAGTGAAGCAGTTAAAAAAGCACGAACCGAAGAAATTATAATTCCCTTTGGTGTTGGTATTGCTGGTACAGTTGCAGAAACCAAAGAAATGATTAATATAAAAGAAGCATATAAAGATGCTAGATTTAATTGTGAAATAGATTTGAAAACTGGTTATAAAACTCATGCTATATTATGTATGCCAATTTGTAATTATGAAGGTGATGTTATTGGTGTAGCACAAATTATTAATAAAACTAATGGTAAGTATATATGTATGTATAATGATTTTTACTATTGATTAATATATGTGCATAATGTATGTATGTATTCCAGTTAACGGTTTATGCTTGCATATCCGACAGTGTTTAGTTAGTATTTAATGTGTGTAAAAGTGATGAGATACAATGAAATTTCCATGTAAATGGTGCATAATTCAAGGAAATTAAACAGAGAAATAGTGTAAATAATAGCAAATTTTAAGCAAAATCCTTGAATTTAATATTAAGATTAATATCGTTTTCTTACCTTAACACTATCAATTATTAAAACATTGACATTTTTCCGAAAATTTACATCCACATACGTTAATACGAGTATTGTTTTTTTATATATGACTCCCTTGGGTTTATCTTCGCACTGCATAATGCATTAAGTAAAATTCCGAGAACACCGTAATATTTTTCTAACATCAAAAATACAATTAAAGAAAAACTATGTACTACTGTTTTTCATCTAAATAAAATTATTCATACTATTAAAAACAATGCACGATCCTAGTCCTTTTATATTTATTTAAATGAATTTTAATTAAAAAAAAATTTACCTATGGGAGTTATAAATTTAATCTCATTTGATTTTATTGTCATATTAAATCTCTTAACAATGTTATGCGTATATCATGTGTATTAAATTTAAATATTTTGAATTTATTACGACCACAAAATTAATTGTAATTTATTATAACAAGACCATGAATTATGGTTAGTGTTAAAATTTCATAAAAAATGCATTAAATATGAAACCTTTTGAAGCGTGCTAAAAATTAATAATATTAAAATTTAAAATTTACACTTACACATACATACATAAATGTTAGTAAATGGTATAGTCGTATAGATTACAAAATTTCATTTTTAAAATTTCATTAACAGGAAATTGAGTAAAAGTGAACTTTAGAGTAAAATATTCGCACGTTTTAATTTATACTAAATTAAATTTTTTATTGAAATATTTAATTTCTATAAAAACTTAATCATTAGTTGATATTAGATTTCCAAATTTCTCGCAGTTAAAATTTAACAGATCAATTATAAAACCTTTTCGGATCTTAAAGTTTTATAAAAACAATTTTTAAAAGATTAATGAGTGAAATCTTTTTAAAAAAAAGCATTTCGAGACTTTTTAGACAAAATGTTCCATGACCGTTTTTTTTTGTGTTTTTTCTGAGATTTATATCAGAACATTATAAACGTTTCTCCTGCAAAACATCGATCTGTATATGCAACCAAAATATCCTTCTGTTGAAATTTTTATATCTCTAACATGGTTTGTTTTTAAATGAGCGTCTACAAAACACACAGACTGTTGGAAGAAAATTGGTACATGCTCTAGTGGATGATATGTACTAAATTAAGGTTTTATAATTTCACAGAGTAGTCGATTTTAACGTTAACGTATTTAATTTTTCAAAAGGGAACCCGTCTACCAGATATTGTAATGCTATAAAATACTGTAACATTCCATGTAAATTATTATTCTGTCACTTAACTATACTTAATTTACTGCGAGATTCAGTTTTTAGATTATTAATCTAATTCGTTATACATCCATCTAAAAGCCACTCACACATATACTTCTATCTGGAAATAGTATACATTCGATTATTAAGATATCTTCAAGATATATAAATAAAGCTGTACGACGGAACATATTTCGAAACACGTTCCAATGTTGCTTATAAATTTAGTAGGTCATTTTTGTGTTTTTGGTTAAATTTTTTTATTAGACGTTGTGTATGTTTACTCATTATTAAAAAAGAGCTCTAAGTCTCCATAATTTACCAATCGGAGTATTTTATTGAGCAGTAGAGCATCGGAGCACTCATAAACAAAAGGAGCAAAAAGCTGCGCCGCGTTCGCAGCCCAAACATTTATTTTATCTTATCTCGTATTTTAAATATTACATAAACTTTAAAATTTTTCACACATTTAAATATTTGAGCGAAATTTTATTTTTAATGAGAGCAAAATTATCTCACATTTCATAAATATGTTCTCTCTTTGTCTATACTCTATAATTCACCTCATGTATATTTGGTAAAATTTACTGTATTTTCTTTTTGTTTCTTTTTCAATAACACACTACTTTAATTCATTTGTTTCACCTAATTAAGTTCCAATCAAAATAGAAAATAAAGACATTTAGCCTTAATTATTTTTATAAACATAGCAATCTTCTGATCTCACCATGCTTATTTTGTCTTAAATTTTTTTCTTATTTATTATTCCTTAGTTTTTTAAGTCAATGCTAATTAAATTTTCAAGGCGAAAAATATTTTTAAAATTAATGAAAAATAAAATAAAAATTCATACCAAATAGCGACGGAACACATTTATTATGAGATTGAAATATTATGAAAGTTAATAAAGTTATTCACGTTTCCGAGAATGACAAAATATAGTCAAATATTTACATGAACATATTATAGCTAAATATTTTTTCCAAGAAAAATGATTGCAACGATTTAGATTATATTTTGTAAAAATGTTATTAAATTTTCTATTCACATATACACTCATACATACCTGTTATAGCATACATACATGTATTTAAAAAATAATTTTAAATTTCAGGCTCAACAGAATTCAATGACCATGATGTTGAAATTTTCCGAAGATATTTAACATTCTGTGGTATTGGAATACAAAATGCTCAATTATTTGAAATGTCCGTACAGGAATATCGTCGTAATCAAATTTTATTAAATTTAGCTCGAAGTATTTTCGAAGAACAAAATAATTTAGAATGTTTAGTTACAAAAATAATGACGGAAGCTAGAGAATTATTAAAATGTGAAAGATGTGCTGTGTTTTTAGTAGATTTGGATTGTTGTGAAGCGGTAAGAATATAATTTTATTAAATTTTTATAGTTTACATATACGTACTTTAAATTGTAAAGTAAATTAAGTCGAAGTTTTAGAATTATAAGTTAAAATAAGATCAGCTAAGGTAGCATATTTTATTCGAAAGGAATTCATATTTGAAAGAAAATTGCAATTTTAGAAATGCAACATTTGACTGACATAAAATACAAAATTGAAAAAAAAATAAGATTTTTATGTGTTCATGTAGGTACAGGCAGACGTTCATTTTCATAATAATTTTCATATTAAAAATTTCTACAGTATTTTGCACATGTGTACTTATTAAATTTTTCAGTTTGATTACAGTTCCTCCTTTAAGGATTATCTTAAAAAAGTACTTTTCTTTGAAAAGGTAAAAAATTATTTTTAAAAAATTTTTTTTAAAATATTATTTTTTTCTCTTCTCACATCCCTTTTTTTGTTTGTAAATAACAAAAAAAAAATTATTATGACTTTTATTATTTTCGAAAAATAAAAAAAATTTATTCCTTTTTTTTTCCAACTTGAATGACATTTTTTTGTAAATAAGTAAAAAATATAATATACATATAAATATATGTATATTAAATATAGATTAACTTTTAAGGTATTGAACAAACTACAAAGATTCAAAATAAAAAAATAAAATACAATTTTCAATAATATTTTTGTTAATGCTCTTGAGTTTTCTTTAGAAAATTCAAAAAGAAAAGCACTATGGCATAAAAATATTGTGCACAAGTGTTTTGAATGCACTCTCACGTTTCATATTAAATATTTCAATTTTAATGAATAAAAGTTGAAATAAGCTTTTGAGTGGCAATAACATACTTAAAATTGCACATTGATCTTTAAAACAGTGTTTGTTTTGCATCCTTGTACAAAGGAAGAAACTCTCAATTAGTATTTCTTCTATTGTACAAGGCCTGAATTCAAAATTTCTATAATAAAGGTTAATATATTATTTCATTTTGCTGTTGAACTATTGTACGCTAAGAAATGCTGATTTTGGAATAATTTCGAGCATCAGAATACAAAGTATGAGCCATAGAAATTTTTTGGTAGCTTAATAGTAAGGAACGGCAATCAGCTGACAATAGTTTCATACAATCAACTCCACGATCAAATTATGAAATTTTGATTCCATGAGTTGCATGAGAATTGCCAGTTAATTGTATATAATCACTCCAATTGCTTCAAATAACAATTTTACAATGTTTATATCAATTTTTCAATAATTTCTTGTAATATTTGGAGAATTGTTATTGAAATAGGCAACTAGCTGCGTACTATAAATATTCAAACAAATAAGATTTTGTTTATGAAAAAATTTTTGTGATCGGAATGAAGAATTAATGAAATTTTCTTTGAAGTTGCATGTATGTCAATTACTCGAATAACGTCAATTAGTCAATTTTCATATTACATCCCAATTATAAAATATTTGCAGGTTTTACTGTATTTACTGCATCATCGGAAAGACGAATCAAAAATTTAATATAAAATTTTTTTAAAGAGAAAAATTTTCAATTTAAATAAAGTTTAAAATTAATTTTTGATTTGATATTTTGTGAAAATTTATGAATAATTTAGGTACATGTTTCTGAAATATTTTATTATTTTTCAAGGATTTGTGTTCAAATATTTTATTAGTTTGGGTTTTCAGTTTTGAATATAATAGTGTTTGTTGGAATTGAAATAAAATTTGAACAATTGAGAAACAAAATATTATTTTGTTATGAGTAATCTTTTATTTAATTCATAATATACTAGATAGGAAATCAAATATGTTATAAGTATCATCTCGAATAGAGCTATCACAAATTCAATTGAAAAATTCAAAAATTTGCGATTCAATTGTATTAAATTACTCTTTTATTATGTTTAGGAAGAAAGACTATTATTTTATATCAAATTTTAATACATACTTGAAATATTCAACATTATTCAATCAAAAACCGTATTTATATTTAAAAATGTGAAATAAATAAATCGAACCAGATCCGGTTAACACTCAAAAAATAACTAGTTTTTGAAAAAAATATAAGAATAAAAAAATGCTTAGAATAAATTTCTACATCCATATTGCCTATAATAGGATTAGTTCTCATTTTTCACAAGCGGGTACTAGTACTCGAACCGCTCATAATGTGTTAACTTAAATTACTTCATTAATATTCCATGATTATATTTTGAAAAAAATTGCATACTTTTAGGGAATGAGAAAAAAATTAAAAGAAGTGCTAGTAATGATGGTCGAATTCAAAGGTTCATTTAAGAAATAATTGAGATAATTAGCTTTTGTTCTTATAGAAATTTTGAAAACTTCTAAAATGTTTTTCATATTTAATTTTTAATTCATTGTCACGTGCAAATGACAAAACCAATTTTGAACAGCACATAAAATTCTTATATTTTTGAGCAGCAAGTTCAAGTCTCTTTCGCGTTTGTTGTATCCAAATTGTCTTTCGTGTGTGTTTGTTGTATCCAAAATGGTCTTTTCAATTGATTTTTATTTCTAAATACATCCCAGAAAATTATTAAAATTGAAAAAATTTTTATAAGAATTTTATTAGTTAAAATTATTAATTAAATTTAATATTTTAATTAAAATTAAAGTAAAATTACAATAACTAACAAAGTGTATGCAACCTTGAAGTATATAACCTTTTGAATTCTTTTCGGAAACGGTTCTTTTAAGTTTCTGAAAACTGGAATTTCAATTGTTTTAGATGTACTTAAAATGAAGTCTCAAATATCTTGGGTAAGTCTACTAATTTCTTGTGGTAGTTGGTGTTCTACATAATACAGGTTCCTTATAATTTAAAGTCGGAGCTCTGAGAAGACGAATCTAAAATTTTTTGTCAGACCTCACTTAAATATGTTTCAAACATACATGCTTTATAAACAGGGCCATTGTCATTCCGTATAGTATAAAATTGGGATGTATTAAGTTATCTCCAACAATTACACAAATTTTTTTTGCTTAAAATAAATACTTACGTCAATCATTTTTTTAAATTGAAAGGAATATAGAAATATTTTTTTATTTTTATAAAATTTACAGCTTGCAATTATAAGTACAACACGAAAATTTCCTCATGCATAAATAATTTTTGGGATACTTGTATATTTTGAAAAATTTTTAAACATTGCAAATGAAAACAAATGTTTCCCTTACAAAAAACAAAAAAAAAAAACAATTTTTGTATAACTTCAATTTTAACCTAACTTGATTTACGACTGGCTTATAGCATTGGAGGTTCCGTTTTAAGCGTGTATAAATCTTTATATTTTAAGATACAAATACGATAAATGCCACATACGTGTTTTAAAATTTTGATAATTTTGTAAGAACATTGAGTAGATTTATTTATAATTGTATATAAATTTAATGTACATCCAATGTTCACGTACATATATGAAAATAATATTCTTCCTTCTACTTAAAACCATTAAAAATAAAAATTTAAAAAAATATTTACAAAATTAATTAATAATTAAAAAGGAATCCTGAAATATTTTTAATACTCATGCATTCAATTTTATTGAACCTTTAAATTCGAATCATATATACATATATATGTATATATATATGTACATAAATATAATGAGAATTTTATATAACCTTGATTATATTCTTTTAAGAAAATTTTATAATATTTGTTCCTATTAAAATAATAAACATCCCCTTAATAGACGTTCTCATAAATAAATAAGATAAAATATAAACCTCGGATAAGGATCGATTGATTATATACATACCATTGGATATAAACGGGAAATTTTCCGCAAAATTAAAATTAAGAATTAAATAAATAAGGAATCAAGTTGTTTATTATGCTATTGAAATTCATTCAGCATATTCTTTAGATCACTATAAAAGTAATTCAGTGGGTATCAGAAGATACACATTAAAGTTTGATTTTTTATTTTCTTATTTTATTTCTGTTTTTCTCTTTCATTTTGTTTTTGTTTTGTTTTTTTAAGAAGACCAACACCATAATCGATATCATATCTGATAAATTATTAAAAATATTTAAGAATTCGATTTATATAAATTTTAGGTATGAGATATGAAAAATGAAATTGAAGAAAATATGAAATTACAAAAATTTCCCGATCGTTTAAAATATTTCTCATGAATCTGTTGATGGTAAAACTATTGTAAATCGGCATCTATTGTAACCCAGCTTTAATTAAAAATCCTTTTGATATTTTGGAATATGATTAAGTGTTTATTCTATTCTTTTAAATAAATCATGTGTAGACGTTTATAGATTAGACATCAAAACACGATTTTTGACACAAGTACCACAGTGGTAACTGGAAGATTAAAATTTAAATCACAAGAATTACAAGAATTTTCTGTTAGTGGGTTGTTGTGACTTAATTTTCCGTTCACGAACATACACACATACATGCATTTAATATTTTTAACCTATTAATTTTTAATGTGCACATATATAAAATAGAAAAATAAGTATTCATTTAAAATTTCAACTTTGAAAGATTTGTTCTTTTACAATGCTTAAATAATTACAAACGGGATATAAAATAAGGATCAATAATTTTATTATCATATTTAATATTCAACGTTAATTTACGCTAAAATATAAATTCTGTTTCAATACGAATCATAAATTATAGAGAAAATAAAAAAAAGTAAATAGTAAAACGTGCGTTTCTTATTATAGGTATCCTTTTCCATAAGGATATTACAATCGATCGGTTTTTTAGGAATTGAAAAAGAAAAAAAATGTGTTCCTCTTGGAATCCTTTTAATATTTATGAAATCATTGAAAATATCGTATATTTTTTTTTAAATAAATAAATAATTATAACAATTGTGTTATTCTTTAAACGTATTAGGTTTCTATTGGATTTGGATATTTAAAGTTAAATTCAACAGCGTGGCGTGACATTAGTATGGAAACGTTGGCACCCTTGCATGTTAAATTAATAAGATAAATGAAGTAATGTATTTGAATGAAAT